TGCCCGTCAGAGCGCACACCAAATACATGATTCCCAGCACCAGAACCGACAACAGCGCCAACAGTATGAATGTCTCGTACACTCTGTTCATAATGCCTTTGCGGGAACCGCTGAAGCCCTCGGATTCCGTGAAGAAGTAGGCGAACGGCAAAAGTATAAACAGCGATATGTTTGAGAAGACAAACACATACGACCACAGGCTGTGGATCAGCGAATCGTTGAGCCATTGGATGTAATAACTGTCCGGATATAAGATAATCACTTCGTTGGTGACGATCGAGAACGGGAGCAGAAGAGCGGTTCCAATAGAGACGGCCAGCGAGAAGGTGCACATCCAGAGGGATATACGATACACGAGTCCGTCCTCTTCGTCGATGAATAACTGTTTTAATGTGTTTAAAAGTGGTCAATAAGTGGTCATTAATAGACAAATGAATGGTTTTGTGGTCACGACATACCTCTTCCCGACGGCGCCTATAACTGGCGATAATAGCATAGGAACTGCTGTACAGTATAATGAGTAGAATGAAGAATATCAAGTGCTCGCGGATCACGTTATGAAAGGCCTGTTCCCGGGGGTCGACGGCCACCACCTCTTCGTCCTCTTTGAATATATACATCACACGAGTGGTCACCGACTGGTCGTCCCCTCAAAGGTTACAATCATTGGCCGCACCAGCGGTTCGGTGGGAAGTGTTGTCGTGTCTGCGATTGAAATCACTGTCTGATATAAAACGAGATATTTTTGGGTCATTTTTATCACATATTTTAGGGTTCATTGAATTGAGTTTCAAAATATTTAGCATTTATTTCACATTAAAAACTAAGTAGTTATCAAAATATATAATTTAATTAAAATTAATATCATTATAGGCGGCCCGGCGTCCACTTCGAAGCCACCCCTTAAGCGAAAACTCTTCGCTAAAGACGTCCCGAGGGCTGGTGTGGTCCTCGTTGACGGGTCTCCAACGGTAACGTTGACCGCCGAGGCGTACGACAAATTAGTTGCGTCTAAATCTAAATCTAAGGGCAAAGATATTGTCGAAGCGGCTAATAAGGCCGGAATCCGCGACTATAGCTGCGCGAAGTGTCCAAAACACTGCCCCAAATGAATGCCATTTTATTCCTCCACTTCTTCACACACGTCCACACCATTGTCTTCTATGTCTTCAACACAATAATAGCCAATCATTCTCTCTCTGTCTCTAAATTACGCCAATGATTAGGCAATCACTTCTTCAGTCTTCGCAGCACTTGTTCTCCTTTTAATGGTAAGCGTTGTGTTGTTTTGTTTGATTTAATTATAATTTAATTGAAAATCACAACACATTTTGTTTTTCTTTCACTCTCTTTGACAGCACTTTACAAATCCAAAGAGAAAATGTCTTCGTGTGTCTTGTCTTGGATTGCATGTCATGTCCACTGTCTCTACCACTGAAGACATCACTACAATCACTTCCGCAAATTCAATGGCTTTCAATATTTTAACGTATTTTTAATTACAAATTAAAACAATTCAACGGTTTTTTAGTTTTAACAATATTTTCAGTAAATTTATTCAAATAATAAAAACTCTACTTTTAATTATTATTTTAAATGGAAGCCAATTATATTATTGTTAAAATATAAACATTTTAATTATTAAAAACTTTTAAATGAGATTTTAATGTTAAATAATTGCAATAAAAATAGTTTAAATTATTTTTTGATTTTCAAATCAATCAGATTTAAAGCAAACTTTGCGGATAAATGTCATGAAATGCCAAAAGTTTTCATAGAAATAAACATTTGTCACAATTATATCCATTTTATTATTTATTGCTTTCGTTAGAGTTTTACATAAAAATAAATATTTATATACTTTTTAAGTCATGAAATAAATCGGGTCTTAAATATACAATAAAATCAATTAAAAATAAGTTATAAATTAATAGACAATTAGTTTTACAATTAAGAAAAATATATTATTAAAGCTATTTATAAATCATTGGAAACTATACTTTAAAATGCGTTACAAAAGTGGGAAAAGATTTGTAATAAAACTAAATTTCCAATTAATACAAAAAAAACTTGAAAATCAAAAACTAAAAGTATTTTTTGACATTAATTTGATATACAATTAGAGAGACAGACAGACAGTGATATCGATCACAGAAATTCAATCGTCGCTTAAAATTTACAAATCAATTAAAAAACACAAAAATTTGATTAAAATTTAAGAGAAAACAACATTTGTCTCGAAGAATAACACAAAACGAATCCATTATTTAATCGGATTTATTATGATATCCACTGTTGTGGTGGACATTGGGTGCGGACATCATTTGGGTGGAGGCGGACAGTGTTCCGGACAAACACACAAACTATAGTCTGTAATGTTTGCGTCCTTTGCGGCTTTGAGGACCCCTTTGCCCGTCGCCCTGTCTTTGACCGCCTTATCAATGGCTTCGGTGGTCATCAATGCCGCCACTGATCCGTCATTGAGTGTGAGACCAACTCTTGGCACATGTCTTGGGATTATGTGATCTGCGCTTTCAATGTGCGCTCCGGTGTCCTTTGGAGCGGTTCCGGCACTGACTGTAATGATATTAATGTAAATTTAATTATATTTTATAAGTATTTTTAATGCGAAATATTTTGAAACTCAATTCAATGAAACCTAAAATATGTGATAAAAATGACCCAAAAATATCTCGTTTTGTTTTGACAGTGATTTCAATCGCAGACACGATAACACTTCCCACCGAACCGCTGGTGCGGCCCATAGTTGTGACCTTTGAGAGGACGACCAGTCGGTGACCACTCGTGTGATGTATATATTCAAAGAGGACGAAGAGGTGGTGGCCGTCGACCCCCGGGAACAGGCCTTTCATAACGTGATTCGAGAACACCTGATATTCTTCATTCTACTCATTATACTGTACAGCAGTTCCTATGCTATTATCGCCAGTTATAGACGCCGTCGGGAAGAGGTATGTCGTGACCACAAAACCATACATTTCTCTATTAATGGCCACTTAATGACCACTTTTTGCCCGTTAAAACAGTTATTCATCGACGAAGAGGACGGACTCGTGTATCGTATATCCCTCTGGATGTGCACCTTCTCGCTGGCCGTCTCTATTGGAACCGCTCTTCTGCTGCCGTTCTCGATCGTCACCAACGAAGTGATTATCTTATATCCGGACAGTTATTACATCCAATGGCTGAACGACTCGCTGATCCACAGTTTGTGGTCGTATGTGTTTGTGTTCTCAAACATATCACTGTTTATACTCTTGCCGTTCGCCTACTTCTTCACCGAATCCGAGGGCTTCAGCGGTTCCCGCAAAGGCATTATGAACAGAGTGTACGAGACATTCATACTGTTGGCGCTGTTGTCGGTTCTGGTGCTGGGAATCATGTATTTGGTGTGCGCTCTGACGGGCATTACCGCCGATGGCATCGGCTCTATCAGCCGACTGTTCACTCTCTGGCATTACCTGCCATTCCTCTACTCTTGTGTCTCGTTCTTCGGCGTTGTGCTACTCCTGGTCTGCACGCCGTTAGGAATCGTCAATCTGTTCACAGTGTTGGGCGAAGTGATCACTAAACCACACGTTCTTCGCAATACTCAGGAGGAATACGAGGAGACAAAACTCGAAGAGCTGTGTCTCCGGCGACGCATCGACTGCCATAAGACAGACTCACAGCCAAAGTCGCCCTCGAAGTCGCGGTCGATGCCGTCGTTGAGCGCACTCCTGGCCACCAATGATCAACACTACTCCTCTTCGGCCACAAAATATTCGCCGCTAATAACGGCCACAGAAAACAACACAAACAGTACGACAACGAGCGGTGGCCTCACGTATCGGCCCAATCCTTCGGCCGCCTTCGAGTACATCGACAGCCAGAAGATTATGAACCGCAAGAACAGTGGTTCCACTTTACACGACATGGAGTTGTCGTTAACGCAATTGGAATCGTTTCGGAAGTCACTGGAGAAGAAGCTGCGCGTGGGTTGGCTCAGGCGTAACCTCGGCTACCCGTTGGCGATGTTGGCGCTCATGTGTCTGACAGCTGTGGCCGCTCTGAACGTCGTCCAGAATACTCTGGAACTACTGGTGGGCATCAAAGCCCTCCCACTCTCAACCACTCAACACTTTGTGCTGGGAATCGCCTCTCTGTCCAAAATGGGACCGATCGGCGCCGGCGTCGAGATTGTGCTCATTCTGTACTTGTGGTGCGCCTCAGTTGTCGGCCTCTATCGGGTCCCACTCATCGGCAAAGAGTAACACATGACTACATACCCGAAGAGGAGCGGAGTCTCAAGACATGGCCACCCTCGGCGATCTCCTTCTTCCGGAGGGCCGTATTGTCCGCCGCCACGCGTTTCAACGCCACGCGCTCTTCTGCCACCTTCTTCTGTGCAGCCCTCTTATCGGCTGCCTCTGCGGACTTCCTGCGGCGTGTCTGTCGGTTGTCTTCGCCCATTGTCTCGAGAGGTATGTCTTGGGATCAAACGATAATCATATAAACAAATGGCCGTTAAATAAAGTACACATCACTCGTGAGTAAATGCGTGCAATCGGTGGTAAATCAAGACAATTACCAACAGATAATGTGTGTACACATAAACAGAGCCTTACCTGTGGATCAGATGGGGTGATGTCTCGCAAAAGTGATGGCAATTGATTTCAACGAGTTTTGTGTTGTTTTCAATGCAAACATAAAATCCCAGAAAAAAACTGTTTTGTCGACAAAATTATTGATCGTTTCATTCATTCAATGCATTCATTCATTGCGTTACGAATCCATCGCTCATTGGCTCACAGTTTGTGTGGCGACCGGCGATACCCTAGCGTTCAGTTGTTGCAAGTATTGGCCCAAACGGCTATTGAGCGCCACTTTTAAAACATTTTTATTAAAAAATTAAAACAAATTAACGGTTTTAATAATAGTTTTATTACATTTATAACAACAATAAAAATATTTTAATTTTTAATATAAATTAAAACAACTCATACAACAATTATACTTAAGATTATTGTGACAGTTAACTTAACAATTACTAAATAATAACAAAATAATGGTTGAAATAATCAATTCTTTCTGGTCTTCCAGAGTAGGCCTAAGTATGTGATGAAAAGGTAGGCCAAAGTCATGCCAGTCATGGCCAGGGAGTCGATGTAGAAGCTGTCGACTGTGAAGTTCTGGGCCTCAATCACTTGCACCCCATTCTGGAAGCAAGTGTTGGTCGAATCGGGCTCTAAATTGCACGGAATGTCCGTCACTTCAATCCATTGCGTGACAACATTGGACTCATAGCCATAGTATATGAACGACAGGTATTTCGCCCAAACCAACCATTTAGGCACAGATCTATTCATTGGGTAACATTAGTTAGTATTCGTATAAAACGTTTATTTTAGGTATATTTTAATTCAAGAATATTCTGTAATCACTAATAATTAAATTCTATTTATAGTGTTTTACCCGGTGTTCACATAGAAACCACTCAACAGTACTAACGGCGAAATAAAAGCACCAAGCACAGTGCTGGCCATTTGAAATGTAGAACATAGGCTCGATATCGCATAACCTGGTAATTAAAACAAATGTTATGCATGAATATAAATATATGACCATGATATAGTTACCAAAACTAGCAGCACTGGTGCACATCAATACTGTGGTGCAAATAAATCTAAAAAACGCGGTCGCCGTCGGGTAGAAACCAATCATATAGTAGAGTAGGACCACAAAAACGATCGAGATTGTTATAAACATCAGGAACTATGCGTACAATTTAAAGTTAATCAATTCAAATGTTTGTGATAAGTGATAAATTATTACCTGAATAATGACAGTGGCTATAAAGTACGGGAAAATAGCAAACATACGGTTGTGGTGTTCGCGACACAGTATAGCGGTGTCCATACAGAAGGTCTGTTTGGGTTCATTACAAATACAGTTGTAGTTTTTAGGTTTGAAAATACTTGGTATTAATGCACTTATTGTTAAAATAATTTGGCATAATTCTAATTAATAACAGATTATGGTTAAGTGGCTTTTAAGTGTTAACATATTTACCGTAATGGAAAGCATCATGGTCATCATAGCGTTATTCTGGGTAATTATATTAATCGCACCGTTAATGTTTTGAATGCCGGCCAAATTAGCACCTTGTTTATAGAATATAGTGCCCATCATTAGACCCATAATCTAGGTAAAACAAAACACAATAACTATAATTGCAACAAAATAACAAATGGTAATTTAACAAAATGCTTACAATGGCTCGAAACAATTGACCACGCAAGAATCGGGGGTTACGTATGGTTAGCACATATGTGCGCCAAAATAAGGCCACCGATTGGCGAAAAACGCCCACTCGATAGTTGTCCGAACCGACGGCCACTTCAATGGCCTTAATATTATTATTTGATTTATTTAAGGCCAACGTTTCGGCAGACATTTCTGTGCCGAAAGACGACTCTTGAAACTCGTCACAAATTGCCTGTCATTTTGTGAATAAAATTCATTTTTAATGAGTTTTTAGTTTTAAATAAATTGTTTATTATGTTTACATTGACTTTCGTTTTACATTCGGCAAAATCCTCGGCTCTTATGGCTATTGAATTGTTTTAATTAGTACTTAATTAGTGTTATAATTATGCAAAAAATGTGTGAATTAAATGCAAACCCAATTCATTGATGTAATAATCGGATGGATTGAAGTTTTTGGGACATAACTAATGAATTGGATATATGAATTAATTTACTAATGCTATGAATATAAAAGTTTTTAAACTCAAGTCTTACGTAACCGATGGACGAGAAAAATTGCTGCGCTTCGGCTGTAGTTGGAATAAAATTAATTGTAATTTTATTTTTAAAATGTTATATAATATTGAAGTGTAAATGCGTTAATACATACTTCGTTTGCCCATAAAGGCAACCCTTCCGTCGGCCATAAGTAAGAGATGTTCAAAAAGCTCAAAGACCTGAGACGAGGGCTGATGTATAGTACAAATTATAGTCCGTCCCTCCGATGCCATTGTCTTCAGTGTCTGTACAATATTTTCGGCCATAAATGAGTCCAAACCACTCGTCGGCTCATCACTAATGAAGACAATTATCAGTGAATTGAATGCAAAAATTAAATATAAGATATTTCTTACCAAAACATGAGTGAAGGGTTTGTCAAAACCTTAATAATAAAAAATATTTATTAAAAAATAATTAAAACTATTCAAAAAACAATACAATCAAACCTCTGAAGCAAAGGCCAAGCGTTTCATTTCGCCGCCGGAAATACCTTTGAACGCAAATTTGCCCCCAATTTTAGTTTTCGCGCATTTCATTAAATTAAACTAAAATACAATTATAAACACATTATAAATAATCATCTAGTTCAAATAAATGATAAAATATGGCCAAGTTTCATTACCTTCTTAATCATATGCTCCACGCATTCATTTCTCTCCTCATTAGTCAAACTGCCGTCCATTCGCAACAATGCCTTCAAATACATATGAATGCAATGACAAAACAAATTAATTATTTAATTGTCATTAAATGTATGATTAATTACCTGAAAACTGAGATGTTCTCTGACGGTAAGCAACGGGTAAAACATGTCGTGCTGTTGAATATACGAGGAAATGGACGCCATATTCTCCGGACTCACTGCCTGTCCATTCAATAGCACCTCTCCGTTGACCGCAAGCTTTCCTAGATTTCTGGTCGTCAATACATTCAATAGAGTTGTCTTTCCGGCGCCACTGAATTCATTAATTAATTATAGGATTTAACAATTATTAATTGAAACCAATTATGGTAAAAATAAATACCTGGAGCCCATAATAGCCAACAACTGGCCGGCCTTTACTTCACCCGACACTTAATGGTGTAAATTATTTACAAATTCATTATAGAATAAACTTATTTTCATATTATGATAAAGTAGTTTAAGTAAAGTTTTCATTTACCGTTAAAAATAAGTTGTTTGGGCATGTTAACAGTTTTATAACAATTATACATGCTCTTGGTCACTGTGGTGAACACCTCAATATTTAACCACGATATGTCCACCGATTGTATGGTCTGGTCGAGTCCTACTCCCCCTTTGCCAATCATTCCGTCCAGTTTTTGGACATTCAATTCCGATACCATTTCCATCGCTACTACCATAATGTTTTTATTACAGTATAGTTTAAACAACCAGTAAAATTTAATAATTATTATCTGGATGTAAAAGTGAAAATGGTTTGCTATTAGAATAAGGGTAAATTAAATACTAATTAAACTTATAAAAAAGCAACTAGAATGATTATGATTTTTTACAATTACTGAATAACTAAATATTATTACTGCTAATAGTTTCATGATCGATAATATTTGCTTAAAATTATTGCTATTCATTGCACAGCGTTTTAATGTTTCAATAATTAAATGATTTGCATTTTATAATAGATATTACGAGAATTATTAACAAGGTCCTTAGTCTTGGTAAATATAATTATTGTTTAATTGAATATACAGTATAACTAAATAATTTATTTTATGAATTTACATTTAATGTTAAAAGAATCTTAATTTACTAGTTTCTAAAAATTATAACTTGTTAGAATTAAATTAAACAATTAAAACAATCAGTGACAATAATAATATAAAGCATGTTAAACATATTTGTAATATAATTATTAACTGCATTCTGGTATTAACAACATTTTAATTTAATTATTTTATTAATAAAACATAAACCCAATTAAAAGTGTTACTAAAAGTTGTAAGCCTTGAACGTGGTATTTAAAAGTGGCGCTCATATGCTTTGTGCCCAACACTCGCATTACAGGTCATATTCCCGACACTAGAGAGCCGTCCCATCGCTACCAGAGTCTCACAGTTTGTGAGCCAATGAGCGATGGATTCGTAACGCAATGAATGAATGCATTGAATGAATGAAACGATCAATAATTTTGTCGACAAAACAGTTTTTTTCTTGGATTTTATGTTTGCGTTGAAAACAACACAAAACTCGTTGAAATCAATTGCCATCACTTTTGCGAGACATCACCCCATCTGATCCACAGGTAAGGCTCTGTTTATGTGTACACACATTATCTGTTGGTAATTGTCTTGATTTACCACCGATTATAACGATTGCATGCGTTTACTCGCGAGTGATGTGTACTTTATTTAACGGCCATTTATTTGTTTATATGATTGTCGATACATTGGTCAACACATCTGATCCCAAGACATACCTCTCGAGACAATGATCAGTGACGTACAGCTGGCCATCTTCGCCAACGTGTTGGGCGTCGCGCTCTTCCTTCTGGTGGTGCTCTACCACTACGTGTCCGTCAATAACACCAAATGAATGCCATTTTATTCCTCCACTTCTTCACACACATCCACACCATTGTCTTCTTCTATGTCTTCAACACAATAATAGCCAATCATTCTCTCTCTGTCTCTAAATTACGCCAATGATTAGGGAATCGCTTCTTCGGCACCACTTTTTCAGCCAAATTAAGACAAAATAAGTCTTCGCAGCACTTGTTCTCCTTTTAATGGTAAGCGTTGTGTTGTTTTGTTTGTCTTTAATCTGGGTTTCAATGAACCGCTCAAATGATTACTTAAAACCAATGACTTATATATACAAGAAGTGGTGTCTTATCATTAGATTCAGTGTTTAATAATCACTGTTTATGACAACAGTTTTGTGTGTGTTTTCAGTGTCTGTCGAGTGTTTGGCATTTGATTAGTGGCTGTGAAGTGGGAGTGAAACGTGTTTTTTAGTCATTAATTTGTTTGATTTGATTATAATTTAATGATATGTTAATTGAATTTAATTGAAAATCACAACCATTTTGTTTTCTTTCACTCTCTTTGACAGCACTTTACAAATCCAAAGAGAAAATGTCTTCGTGTGTCTTGTCTTGGATTGCATGTCATGTCCACTGTCTCTACCACTGAAGACATCACTACAATCACTTCCGC